TATCAAAATATGAACTTGACAGTTTTTTGACTAAACAAGTATCATAATTGACTTTGTCATCTACCTTTGCTAAATTAAGGCAGTAACTAAGAAACATAAATTCCAAAACCCTTACCATATTAAAAAAAGTATTGAACCTTTTGGATATTGAAATAGCAGTATATTATCATCAATCTCACAATCTAACGTGCAAAAGCTAAACGTTTATTTACAATTATAATGTCCCATCAAATGAAATGTTGAATTTGCTTCGGTGGATTGCGCCCAGCCCCTTCACTAAAATTGCCACTTGAATATGAAGACACTGATTTTCTTAATTTGAAGTACGAATTACTTTGCCGGTTTTTAAGCAACTTGTGCTGTGTTGGGATAAAGCCATTTATCTAAAACAATAGGTTGATCAAAGCTTATCCTCAGTAGCCTGTGTTCCAGACCCCTAACTTGAACCAGACCTCTACTTTCAAGTTAGGGGTCTGGAACACAGGCTAATCCTCAGAGCCCGTGCCACAGGGGGCCAGGAGTCCATGGTCTCCCCATTTTTTCGCTAAACGAAAGGACTAAATCATACACAGTAGATATCAACCAGATCAGCTCAAATTATTTATATTCACAAGCATTTAGATTACAAAAAATACATCGAATCAAAGTCCTCGAGTAAACCAGTGTCCTCAAAATGTTTGCCGCAATTGTGGCTCGAGGGGGGGAAGGAAACTTCCTTTACATTGCTTGCCAGCTTTCTTTACAAAGCAGGTCCCCATAAATTGAAGATGAGTTAACTCTCTAGTTCAAACGTAGAAAAGACTTTTTTTGCAAAATTGAAGTACAAGTACACTCATCTTTTATAAGTCTCAACGGTCGCATTGAGTTGTTGAGCACTCAAGCCGGCGTGTCCACTCTCATTCTGAGGAGTACCCAAGCTCGGAAGACCTCTTAACTGAGAACTGGGTTGTTTTTTCTCTCAAACCTAGGACAGTGAAACTTAGAAAAAGGGTTACCTTTTGGAATTTGGAAATGATCACTGAATTAGGGTGTTTTTTAAAGTCAGTCTAGGCCAATATTCCTCTTGTTGACAATATCACAGAATCTTATACAAAAATACAAATATGTGCATTGCAACTTGCCCAGTCATCTAATTATGAAATCCAAAGATTCTTTAGAAGAGAACCACCACACATTTTTTTCGATACAACATTTCGAATTTAACAAGAGTTTTGAATGTATAAAGGTTATTTTCAGCTTGCAATAGAAATGTTGGCAGTTTTGATTTACAATGTGTTACTGTGAAGGGGAGAGGGCCTTAGGTGGGCTCAGCCTTCTTGTTAAAATTAAGAGGGATTTTTCAAGGAGGGCTCAGCGCTTCCCTTTAACAAGCCAGTATATGTTTGGTTAGGCGAAATTCTTTGCTACATTTATGTGAATTAACCCTTTATTTTAAGCACTTTCAATGGACCATTAAGATTGGGTGAGTATTTTGAATGATTTCATATGCATAAAAGAGAATTTTTAACAAAGATGCAAGTATAGGGGAGAGGGTGTGGATGTGACCTTTAGACGTTCCTTACTGCACAGCCTTCTTCCTATTTTTTCATGACGACACGTCACTATAAACCCATATAAAAAAACCACATATACACTCTTCTTTTTTTAGAAGAACAATCTTATGAGAACACGAGCCTCAAAACTGGTCAAAAGTTAAGAACAAATTAAGAACAAGCTGAGGCTGAGCTTCTGCGAAATGCAATTTTGAACAACGTTTTTTCTCAAAATCGAGGATTTTTAGCGATGTGTGGGTGCTTTTTCGGTGAATGTTCAAATTTGTCAGCAAATTAAGGCTGTCTCACTCACTTTGTTGGCAAATGAGGCCTGAACACCTCTTTAGAGCGAAAAAGCTAGCAATAGCACGCTTACACCCTCTTAATTTAAGAACAAATTAAGAACAATCCAGCCTCAGATTTTCGAAAAAATTAAGAATAGTCAGCCTGAATTTAAAGTTACTGGTTCTTATAAAAAAAGAGTGTAACTGGCATTTCAGCATTTTCCAATACAGTGCTGGTCTGGACAAAAAAGTGTGACAGAATCATTGTGTAGCAGAGAAGAGCAGCAACTTCTGTTCACTTTGTCTTCATTTAGAAATTACTTTTATTTGGTACTTTATATCAGTGAAAAGGACAGGGGTGGATTTGGCAGGGATGGGGTGTAAGGAGTGTGACACTCCTCAATATTTCAGAGTTCTTCGGTAAATATTACCTCCATTAGGTAAAAGTCATTTTTGGTAGTCAGTAGGAACAAATTAACGCCAAGATTTTACATTATTTATCTTCTTATCTTCTTTACAGTACAGTTAAAAACTGAATTTTGAGAATGGGCGTTGCCATCATTCTCCATCAAGGGTGTGGTATCAAAATCCAATTGGCATCTACACTTTTTTTTATAAGAACCAGTAAATTTCAGTTCAGGCTGACTGTTCTTAATTTTTTCGAAAATCTGAGGCTGGATTGTTGTTAATTTGTTCTTAAATTTAGAGGGCGTAAGCAGTGCTATTGCTAGCTTCTTCGCTCCAAGGCAGGGGCGCAGTGGGAGTTAACTTTTTGGGGGGGCAAAGCTGAAAATTTTCCGATAAAACTATGATTTTTCCGACAAATTTTTTCTCAATACATTCCTTGAAGATTACCCTTGCTACATATACTGCAACACTTGATACTACAATATCACGAATGGATCTGGAAATCGTTAACGAATGGATCGTTCGTTATACACCTTCAAGTTCAACAATAGCCTTTATTCTAACAAAACTTACCAAATATAAATCGCTATGAACAAAACTGCAACTAGTTATAAATTTACACCCTACAAGTCTTCTCGCTATACTAGACAATAAACTGTCAAGTTAGTGTTTATAGCTGTTTATAGCAAAAAGTTTTTGGCAAGTTTTAAGTCGCATCATAATTACTTTGCATTTATTTATGCTAAACCTTAAATAGATATAACGCGTCCAAAAGAATAGTTTTCTTTTAACTGAATTTATATAAACTGTTACTCAAGCAGCATCTTTCTCAAAAGAGGTGTGGCAGCATACAAATCGACGATGTCACCATAGTCTATCGACTGTAAAATATCACTTTCGACGTTGATTGGTCATCAGAGAGGAAAGGCGGTCTTGTCCCATCGTTGACCGTAGCCGATTTTTTTACAATCCTCAGCTTTGAAAAAGCTCTTTCATAGTTTGTTGAACCTATTGGCAAAGTGACGAGAACCTTGTAAAGAAGGACCAGCTGTGGAAAGGCACTTTGCAGGTTATACTTATCATCAACTGAAGAACTGAATGGAACTGAAAAGTTTTCTCTTTCTCCTGCAGCCGGGAGAGGGTTGCTCTTTTCTCTAACTTTCCAAAATTTATGGTAATTATTGGCGAAAGAGCTGTACTCATCTCCTAATTTTGAATTACACTGTACAGAACTGCCTTTCAATTGTTTTTTGAAAACATTCAGGGTTGAGTAAGGCAAAATCTGTCAAAATTGCCTTATGAGACGTGAATCTTGTATTCATTGAGCTGATAGCTGTATCTACTATCACGATGATATACGGATTCCCTATTTCCCTCTAATTCATCTATGCAATTTTCCCCTGGCATCTTTTTCTTTCTGCGTATTCGTCGCTCGACAAAATTTTCCTCTTCTAAGTCATGGCGAAAATAATAACTTTTTGCGTCTTCTACAAAACCAGCGAATTCATTTCGAAATGAACTGAGTTGAATTTTAACTGTCGGAAATGGGAGTTTATAAAATAACTGAGACCTGAGCGTTAGTTTCCTTTACAAATTTCAGCAATGCGATGATTCCGAAAAATACTCTAATGAAAATAAGTAAGAAGGGTTGATCATGCACTATTTTACGACAGGTTTAAAAAAATATGCGACCTTTTAGACAGGATCGATGAAAACCTTACATTTTGTCTAATATTTCAAATTTTCCGACAAACGTTGGATTTTCCGACAATCCGACAAAATTTTTGCCAGGGGGGCGGCTGCCCCCCCTGCCCCCCCAGCCACTGCGCCCCTGCTCCAAGGAGGTGTTCAGGTCTCATTTGCCAACAAAGTGAGTGAGACACCCTTAATTTGCTGACAAATTTGAATATTCACCGAAAAAGCACCCACACATCGCTAAAATCCTCGATTTTTAAAAAAAACGTTGTTCAAAATTGCATTTTGCAGAAGCTCAGCCTCAGCTTGTTCTTAATTTGTTCTTAACTTTTGACCAGTTTTGAGGCTCGTGTTCTTATAAAATTGTTCTAAAAAAGAGAGTGTAACACCCCCCCCCTTCCGAATCATTGTTGCTTTAAATCTATTCCTAGAAAAGGGTATCATGTAAGTCAGAGGAAAGGGGTCTCTCTCGGATGAGCTGGGGCAGAGGACACGCCGGACACTCAACTTTTTGAACGGTTTAAAAAAGTTTGGTAGCTGCAAACAATAACAATTGTCCGATGTTTCTTTTGTTTTCAAATGCTCGTGACATTTCTGTCAAGAGATTAGCTTCCGCTATAAGCATATATATATTTTTATGCCAACCACCCAAACGAAATTGCCCATTTCAAAATTCAATTGAATTTTAAAATGTTTTGCTCCGATTACTTAATGTACTCGTTCCTTAAAGCGAGATTTTTTCGTTCTGTTTCATTGTTGATTTGATTCAAACGGCGTGTAAATTTGAGGAATTAGAAATGGTTTATAAACGGTGAAAATACACAAGAACTTTCTTTCTATCGTACAAAAATTTAAACATATCCTTCTACCGCATGCTACCCTTCCGTTCCCACCCCCGCGTCTCTTGCGACACTGGGGGCATTCCTCGTCAGTCGACGTTTCACTATCGGAAGTCAGTCAAACGACTTCCAGTTGGTGAAGTCCCCACTGTCATGGCAACACAGCCACATTACGATTTAATTTGTTTTCTTTTTCATCAGGGTCATCCCCTTTATACCAGTCGGCCAGCAGGTTCATATCAATTGAGATGAAACATGTTAGCATGTGGTCAAGCATGCGAGAGGGCAAAGCGAATATTTCATGTTCAAGAATTTGTACTCAAGAGCTGATTGCCTTGCTTTTGTGCATCTTTCATGCCATGATATGCGAACAAAATGCTACTGAAAACGTTCCCTTAAATGAAGAGGCTTTCAAAATATCTATCACGATGCTTGTATTGTGTAAACATTTACTACAATCAATGATTGAAGCATCTTAACAAGTACTTGGTCCGTGTTTTATGGTCGGACAATGCTCAACTCAATATTAACAATGCCTGACAGGAAATTCAGCAGAATTTGCAAAGTTCAGGTGTTTCAAACTCCGCAAGCAGAGAAAAAGTCGCAGTAAACATGCTACATTCTAGATCTATTAAAATACTGTATGAATAAGACGTAGAATGGTTGTCGACTAAACGCTCTTCACGCTTTTGCGTCGGTAATTTTTATAGATGCGAAAGCCTATTGTTTCGTGGAAACTTTCAGGATGTGGTTAACATTGTTACATGGCATGCAGTTGTGACAAAAGTAGTTTAATCGTAATTTTATCAAGTTTTTTTAAAATGAAGTGTATCAAAAGGCAAGGTCCATTAAAGGGTACAAAATCTGGCTTTCTTAACCGCATAAAACATATTTTATTGATTGTTTAAAGCGTTTTGTAGATGGCAGAGGAAATGCAAGTTCCTCTACTTATTGTGTGAAGGAAACCTTTGTCATGCTCCCGGGGGCCGCTTGCAAGATAAATGTATTATTGTGAAATGTCGATAGTAAGGGATCTAAATCTAGTTGGGGGTAATTGCCCAATATGAATAGAGTATGATTTTAGATGTATCGAGAATCCTCAGCAAATGCGAGACATCGTGTTCCGCTGCCTGAAAATTTTGATTGTCAGAACCCAACCAGAACCACTGAAACCTTCCAAGTGGCGAAATTTTCTTTATAAGGGGGATAACCACTAACTAAAAACCGGTCTCTCAAAGGCTTCTAAAGTAACAGAAGAACCCAGGCATATCGTACCAAATTTGACAAAGAATCTAACACTTCCATTAAACTCTATTGCAAAAGTCAAGTAAGTCACCTAGAATTATTTCTTTTGGCTAGTTTTGAATTTTGTACATCTGATTTGCTGAACAAAGTATTTTTTCTTGAGCAAATAAAAAAATTCTGCTAAGAATATCAACTTCAGCCTATCGTAAACTGGCTGGAAACAAACGTTTATAATGATTGCTGAAAGCTCTGACTTCTTTGGTAGCTCAAAATATTCAATACACCTTCTTAAAGATACGTAGATAATTTGACTGCCTAAAAACTGGACACGAATCTGAACCTAAGAACGTAAAGAAATCCGGTTGCGATGAAAGATATATCTTATTTTATCTATAAACACTTTTATCTATGTATTCATATCAACTCGTGCAGGCGATCGACTGGATGAAGTTTTTCACTATCTGGGGCTTCATTGCAATAAGGAAAATAGACTGGAGAATTCCTTTGGAGCATATTAAATAGATGTTTCTAAAATCAAAATAAAAGTTAGGCAAGAAAATTCCTGAATCAAAATTCAAACCAGTGCTAATTTCCCTGCAAAATATTATAAAGATTCACCTTTCAAAGTTTTAGAACTTGTTGTATACATCGAGGCCCGGCGACCCCCGGATTTCGATAGAGCGCTCACAGACACTTTCCGCAAAGAAGCTGGAACAATAATACCGTCGCATCGGTTGTAGCACTTAGTGATTGGAAATTACTCCATTAGAATTACAAGAACAGGTAAATAGGTAAAATGAAAACGTAATGTGAAATATCTATGCAGCGCAAAGTTCGTAATTTTCCGATCGGGTTTCTTCATGGTCGCTGGCTGCAGAATGGATGCTGACAACAAAGAGCAACGTAGGCAGGATGTGATGGAAAGGCTTCGTATACGGTTCTCTCAGTACCAGAAGCGGCAGAATGAATATTTGACTCGCTTTATGACTAATGGTCCTGTCAAAGAAGAACGAGAAAGACAGGATACTCAGATGTACCAGCAAAGGATTCTTAATACTAGAGCCAACACAAAACCCAGGCCAAAACAAGACCAAGCGGGAAAGAACTCTACCATCGACCAGGCTTACCCACCTAATGCAATGGGCGATACTTTGATTCTACAGGTCAGTGTAAACCCTTTCAGTAAATATCTTCCAAGTATCTTATCAAATAATGCAGCTCTTTTTTGGACTTTTGTAAGTGTCCATATGAATCAGTGGCATATGAAGTCGCTTGTAACTTTAGCTAAACGATTGTAGTGTTTCCCATATGCCAGTAGGCCATAAAAACAATGCTATAACTGAGTAGATACTATATCATGCCACTGCTTCATTAAGCTTGTTGTCCTGTGGTGCAGACTATCGTTAGATTTGCAGCTCTACTAATACATCGTTTATGTTTGTGTCATTTCTTCTTATCTGCAGTTATTCGGAGAGCATGAGCGACCACAGCTAGTGCGTAATCCGAACACAGCTTTGTGGCCTAGCCTCTAAAACGACTTGTACTGTTTGACTATGTTGTACTAAATTGACAGTACAAATAACTTGTTTATAAAAGATCTGGGAAAAGATACTTAGAATTACGCAAGTCAGTCGTAGCATTTTAGCCGGTCTCCTTTCTTCCATTTGTTGTCGAAAGGTTAAGTTTTCAACGAACACAGTCCATTTAGTGAATTACGATGCATTGCAGTATGCACAACATACACAAAGGTCCTTTACTAAAAGCAACTTGCCACAAGCAACTAGTTTTACAAGGCTAGGAAATTCAATGAATCTAGCTCCTGAAATGTACAGATGAAAATTAAAAGCAAAGAATGAATTCAGACATCTTTGGCAAGTAGCATTTACTAAAATTAGGTTTTCAGACTTTAACATTTAAATTTAAAAGCAAGATCAAACTCTGAATAATACAGGAAAGGTGGTTGGAGTGAACAGATCTATTAAAAGTTATCACATTTTCATCTAGATGTTTTTTACTCTAGATTCTTAAATACATTAAAAGGAATTTATTTCGCTTGCTTAGTTTTCTATGTGCTAGTTATACAAGTACTATTTCTAAGTGTCAAAATTGGGAGGCTAGCAAATTTATTTCCAAAACCTTTTCTGAGAATAACTTTTTTCATTTATTGTCAAGTTTGATGATGGTTTTCACTGTTTTAACACATCTAGAGGAAGGCCTCAGCCCCTGCTTGATGTTTATGCTGACAAATGTTGTTGATGGGTATCACGATTTTGTTAGTTCTTCCATAGAATTTAATACCTTCTTCCATTAAAAATTGCATTTACCCATGCCTGGCCATTTGAGAAGAGCTCTTGTTACCTGTAGGCTGGAGAGGAGCTACAGATTGCTCTCCTAAATTACTCTAAAAAACAAATAGCTCCCCTTGAAATCAATTTTTACTTTGTTTCTATTCTTATTTATCAACAAAGAGCTCACCTGGAAATTACGAGGAAAGCTGTTTACTTCTCCTGAGCTAAAATTCTTATGGCCAGGCCTGATAGACCCTGAAATTATTAAAAAGTTCAATTTTTCAATGTCAATTTTCTTAATTTGAATTAAAAAATTATATAACTATTTATATTCATTGCTTTAGATGATCAACTTCATGTAGTGATCTTTTAATTATTTATTTGATGGGTACAATAAACATACATAGAAACCTTCTAAGTTGCTAGTATAAAGTTTGGCAAAGCCCTAAAGAGGATACTTGTGATGCAGACCAATTTTCCTTCAATCAAATAAATGGCTAAGTGTCCACTTTTTTCTTATAAAAATTTTACTGACCTAAGATTTAATGGATATTAATCAAATCACTGTAGTTTCAAATTTTATTACTTGATACCACAGACAGTAGCATCCAAAGACAGATGCACAAGTCTAACTCAATACTCATCTCATCCTAAATTACAACCTACAGTATCATTCGCAAAATTGCCATTAAATCCAAACATTATATATCTAGAAATCAGTGCCTGAGTTGCAAATAACCAGTTGCAGACTTGTCAATCTAAAATTTTAAAAACCTTAAGATTTTTTATTTTTGTTAAGAAAATCAGTGTGATTTTGCCAAACTCAAAGAGATCCCTAGAGTTCAGTTTATCAATCAGTTCATTTTCATTTTAAAATTTTTTGGTGAATTGTATAAACAATGTACCTGTAAAGCCTTGTGCCAGGCAAACAGTCAGTGACAAAAATTATGATGACAAGTCATATTTAGGTAACTTGGTACTTTTATTGAGTTTAAAACCGTAATTAAAACAACACATCCAGGATCATATTTTGTCCTCAGAATTTTTGCTGCTCTTTGGCAGCCTCCTCAGTAAGAATTAAGTGAGATGATTGCGTTCTTCTGATGTGTGTTAGAGTAAAGGTTTGATAGATTCATTGCAACAAACTTGATATGATTGGCATGTAGAGGATTTGAATTTCCCTACAGTATTTAGTTCTGGGTCCAGTTCTTTAATGAATAGGGTCTCTGTTAACCTAAAGACTTTGAAGACAGGGGACCTACCAAAACATCCAGAGCAGAAGTGACAGAGAACATGACAAGAAGATTTTTCATAATGAATTTTTGTGTTAATTTGTTAATTTTGTTATTTCCAAGTGATAGATTTGTAAACACTCACAAGATATCTTGTCATGAAGATTGTCTTTAAAATCATTTTTATTATAAGAATTCCTCTGCTCAAAGAAAATGTTGGAACACAGGGAGAAATTATAAAGGACAGGAGCACAGGAAAAAGCAAAGCAAAACCTGGAGTTTCCTAGTGTAACCGGGAAAGTTGACAGGTTTGAAATTGCAGTTCTATTTGTTGAAATGGTAAGGTATAGATAAATCACAAACTAATAGGTAAGGGACCCTATATGTAAGTGGGCATAAGACACTTCAGTCCAAAAACTCTTGTAGTCTGTACTATAGTTCAGCAGGTCTGTACTATAGTTATGATTTCTCCATGTTATGCACCACATAATTCAATGTTATTTGGCCTTTTAGCAACTAAAGCGAAGGTTTGATGAAACTTTCAACCAAGCTCAAGAGGGTGAAGACTTTGAAGACAGGGGCCCTACCAAAACATCCAGAGCAGAAGAAGACCAAAGAAATGAACTTGCTCAGTACCAGCAAGGTAATGTTATGAATAGTTTGCCTAGGACTATGCAATTAAAAAATGATCAAAATGATCTCACATTAGTTCAAAATGCAGCCAAGAAGAACTCTGCAGAGGAAAATGTCTCAAGTATTCCTAATCACAACAAAGAATCTGGTGGTGATGTTCTTGATGGCTCCAAAGGAAATGAAAACTTAGGGAATGACAATTCTAATTCTATGAGTGATAGTTCTAAAATTGTTAGCTCCAACTGCCACATAACTGCAAAGGCTGGCGTCACGGTTTCGTCAGTTTCAAAAACAGAACCTAATGTTGTGAATGCAAATGTTGGATCAGCATCACGAGAAAAAGGCAATAACATTTTGCAAAATGGTGTTTCTCACATAGCAAATGATGGAAATTTGACAGACATGTTTCTCAAGGGATTAGAAAACGATTTTGAGGATATGTTGCAAAATATTTCTGATACAGCATCATCAGCCATCACCCAGACAACTACAAGTAGTACAATCAAGACAGCTTCTGGGCAGGCAAAGACAAGAGAAAAGAAGGAAAATAAGAATGTTAACAATAATGTGATTACTAATTCTATGTCACATGTCAATGATTTTCCTCCAAACACCAATGTACCACATGTTAACAACCTTGGAAATGCACCCCCATATCCTAATAGTGTAGGGGGAATGCAGATGAGGCCACAGGCACCTACTCCAATGGGTCTAAGACCTCAGACCCTGAGACACCTGGTTGATCATATTCAGGGAAGAGGAAGACAGCAGGTAGGACCTGGGCCTTATAGACCAATGACTGGTGTGCCTGTTAGGGAGAACTTAGTGACTGGGACTCAAACCAAAAACCCAGAAACAATGGCGAAAGTTCAAGAGCATTTATTGTTCAAAAAACAAATGCAGCAAAGACAAATGGAGATGGAAATGCGACAGCAGATGCAACAACAAATGCAACAGTCCTACCAGCAGCCAACATATCAGCAACAGCTCATGCAAATGGCACAAGCTGCTCAGCAGCAGCAGCAACAGCACAGTCCATCACCGATGTCACCAATGATACAATCAATGTCACCTCACATGCAACAGCAAGCATTTATGCAACAGAATATGAACTCACCCGTTCCATCACCAATGTCAACTACACCTCTTATGAATCGCAATCCTTTCCAGTTTCCTCAAGATTACAGCACCTATATGAATCAGCAAAAGCAAATGCAGGGTTTTGATGGGATGAACAACATGCAGTCCCAACATGATGGTGGTGTTCAAATGCCAATGAGCTATTATCAGACACCACAACAAGAGCCTGCCCATTATCAGATGCGACAACCAGTGCCTAACCAAGGAACATTGCGGCCAGCAGGCATGCAGTCTGCTGCCATACGTGCCATGATGACAAGGGAAAGAATGCTTTCTCCAGATTCAATGCCCCCAGGACAAATGATGCAGGGCCAAGTTGGCCCCCCTGGATCATTTCAGCCCCAGGTCCCAAAACCACCACCACCTCAATACACACAAAATAATTTCTCTCCACCAAACATTCCATTGGAAAGACCGCAGCTACAAAGATCAATGTCACACCCTAGAAATAGGTTATCTCACTTTTCTCATCCTGATGAAGTGCAGTCAGGAAATGCACCAACCTCTGCACCCCTGAAATCGCCAGGAACATTGCCAATGTATCCAAATGTTGATAATATGTATCAAATGGGACAAACTGGTACAACAATGACAAATGGAGGCCAGCAAAACTCAAATTCAGTAGCGGCCAGAATGTCTGAAAATAATTTTTCAAACTTCCAAAATTATGGACCTCCAAACATGAGTTTGGCTAATGCAATGAGTTCAAGGACAAGAATGAGTCCAAATAATTGGACACCAGATAGTCAGTTACAAAAACAACAAACGTTGCATCAAATGCATATGAACATGAGTTCTGAATACAGAATGGCAATGCCTAAAGGACCCTCTGTGAACTTAACGAGTCGAGCAAATATGTTAGGGCAAACTAGGCGGACCCCAGCTCATTACAATTCAGGAATCGAAAAACACCCTGATGTGCCAAATTTGGCACCAAATTCTATGATGTCTTCACAACAAGGACTTAAGTTGCCAGGTGGGTCTTTGAAGCAAGAACCACCAGCAACAGACATTCCACAAGTCACTCAAGGAAACAACCCTTCTGATGATTTGGAATCGATACTCAGTGATCCGCCTGAGAATTTTGACTTAGTAAAATTGTTAGGTTGATTAAGTATGTGCTTTGTTACTGTAGATGCGAAATGAAGTTCATGTCAGAATTGTCTCTCTGGTATTTTAGAAGTTTTTTAAAAACCTATTTTCAGAAGTATTTACATAGCATTAATCAGTGCTTTCTTGTAAATAAACTTCATAGGGTTATGGCAAATTGATCAAGGGGAGTCTCATAGGTCAATAAAATTGTCTTTTTCATTTGGGGGATGCAGTGCAACCACAGTATTGTGTTATTGCTAATTTGTAAATGGGACTAAGAGTACCCTGAAAACTTTTAACCCAGTATTATTCCTTTCTCCCGTTATACATAGGGCACTGGAAAATGGAGAATTTTTAAACCTTTGTATATTATCTTGTTCTATTTCAAAACGATTGCAAATTTGCTTTCCGTAGAGAAAAGTTTTGCTATTTGCAGGCACTGCATTGTGCATAGCCACTTTTGTCAGCTATTAAGTTTTATAAACGTCTGAATGAAATTTTCTGGAGAAATAATTACCGTGGAAATTTTGTGTTAATGACATTGAAATGATATTGCATGTTTGAGTTTTTACTGTTGCTAAGTTATTAGGCTTCTTGCGTTTTAATTTTTCCTTTGTTTTATGTAGTAAACGCGTTTTTACGTATACAGTGTTCATCTAAATTTACACCAGTTTGTACGACAAAAATGTCCCAGATTGATCATCCATGCTAATTTAGCTTCTTTATGAGTAATATATTTGGTGTCCCTTCCTAATAACTTGATATGCAGATAATTCAGTAGAAATGTGTCTCAAGTACTCCCTAATTTCAAAGTCTCATGTACCCCCTGATTGTACGGTAATGATTATACCATACTCCCTAACCGATATCTTTTAATGTATGCATATAATGGTACATTGTGTCCAACAAGATCGTTTTTCCAGGGGGCATTGTTGGAAAGTTCACGAGTACGCACCCCAATCCAGATCTATTGTTTAGATGTAATGTCATCGATGCATTATTTTTTCCGAACAAGTGTTTTATTACGATAACGTTGCAGAATAAATTTCGTCTTTCAAACATACAGTCAACGTCAACTGTCTTAAAGCTACGATCTGGAGATACCCAGTAGGCCCACACTATTGTATCACCCATTATTATTTGCAAAATTTGTCGGCTTTATTTATCGAACATTTGCTTATTCACGGTGTGAGATTTCCAAATTTGCATATCAAGTTACAGTTTGTTTAACTTTGTTGTGACAGGCCTTGTCCTTCATAAAATTGTTCCTCCAAGAATTTTAACGTCAGACATATTGGCGATTTCAATTCTTTTTTATTTCTATCAAAATTAAATGCTGATGATGTTATAATCTACACGCATAGAAACAGTTAGAAACAAACTTAGTTACTTTCGTATTGGTTGGAAGAACGTTGTGTCAAATAGTTGTAAAATGAGGATGAAGTACTGTTTACAACCTAATCTGCAGGGTTAGTTGTGAACAAAAGATTTATTCGGTATTTTGAATGTGTGCCCCCATTGGCTTAGGGAGATGTGTGCTTAGATACCCTTAGATTTTTCACACCGAGCTTGTGGCAAAATGGCTACGTCAATCCCTTCAACCGGTAGCGCTATTATTTGACCTTGTTTGTTGATTATCTGCGTTTACAAGAAGCTTATCTTTATAAGAAACAAGAAGAATTCTGGGTAGACGAAACTGTCACAAGATATTGTTATTCCTTGAGATTTGTAAGGTGATCCAGGTGTCGTATTACAAGGGAAGTCCAGATGTTGATTTGGTAAACAATGCAGAGGAAATTTGATAAAGAAATATTTGACAAAAATTGTTTTGCTGAGTTTCTTATAAAGATGAGCTTGATACTTCACCATGTAAACACTAGGAAACGTACTTTTGACATGAACTTCATCTCGTATCGTATTTTGAATGTCTTTTTCAGTCTGGTTTGTGATTGGTAAGTAACAAGAACGTACCGGTGATCTTTTAGAGGTCATGTGTTATAAATAAAAAAGATTTAGCTTTCTCTTTTAATGGTGTTTTTATCATATTATTTGAATTTTAGAAAACTAACGTCCTATTTCGTAGATCTCTTCTCATTGCTTACGTAATTTCTCGTTAATTTTAAGCTGCACAGTTTGAATGCATATATTCTAAACATAATTTATACTTGTTAATAACTATATATCATATTGGATAAACAAGTTTTCATAGGTAAGGCCTGTCTTGTTCTTGGAATCTCTTGCCAATTGGTTTGATTTTTGGGCAATTTTCCTCAAACATTTTATTTACGAAGCAAAATTCACAGTTTGCTTAATGAAGCATTTTATAAAAGAATTATTCACAATTTGCTAAATGAACATTTCATGGGAGAAATTATAAATGCTAACATATTAAATTGTTGTATCAATTTAAGAGATCCACGATACATGTGAAGTGAAACAAGTTATTCCCTGCCAAGTATAGTCTTTACAGTGCCGAATAAAGTCCAAATTGTGCCTGATGCCTGACGCAATAGCAAAATGTACCAATAATAGGACCTGTCTAGCTTCAGAAAAATTCTCGCATTTTAGCGTTTTATAGACAATTGTGTACAAAAATGGTCAATGTTGGTATCCCCAACCCTAAATTCAGTTTAAATGTCTATAATTGTCTTTAAAGCAAGATGATTTGTTTTTGGTTGTTTTTTTATTTGAAAAGCTACTTAGATAATTTCACAACCCAGCGTAGAAAGTTTCAAACGGGCACCTTCCAGTAACGATTACGGATACTTCCAAACAACAGAAGAAACATTTTTTGTAACTTTCTGTTCTGTTATCGTTTCCTTGTAAAAGTTCAACGTATTTTTTTCAATAATTAAATAATTTTTCTTTAATTAATTAATTCATTAATCCATTCATTCATTAATTCATTCATTAATCCATTCATTCATTTATCCATTCACTCGTTCATTCATTAATTCATTCATTAATCAATTAATTAATTAATTCATTCATTCATTCATTCATTAAACTATTCATTCACTCATTCATCCTCATTAATTCATTCATTATCTCATTCATTTATTTATTCATTTTTCATCATTTATAAATGGCAGCCCTATTACTTAAGGAGGCTGGTCTATAGTGGTCGTGTCAAACTTTACAATAAATTGTGAACTTAAATGAAGTTGATTAAAGCTCAGATAATGTTTATAATATACGATTTCAAAACTAAATAATGCTAGGCTGAGAATGGCGAATTGCTCTTCAGCCTACTAATAAGCATGGTCAAAGGGGGAACTGTTTTGACACTCAAGGCAAGTCATTCCAAGTCTTTGCATAAAAGAAGGCTGTACCTTTCCCGTGCGAATGCTGTTGTCCCCTGGGTTGCCAGATTGGCCTTTTTCAGGCCAAATTTTCCAATTTTGGGCTCTTTCAGATTAAAATTGCCTGGAAAGTTTGTTGTTGGCCTTTTGGCTTTTTCAGCCGAGATTTCACGGACATGACATTATTTAATATAAAGCTAGCGATACCAAACAGGATAGATCCAAACTTTAAAATGTTATCACCAAATTTAACGATACAAAGGAAGTTTTTGAAGGAGAAAACTGATTTGAGTTTGGAAAATAATTTGAAAGGCGCATGCTTGGAAATATTTACTACGCTTGCGCAGTGTCTTTATGGAGATTTTTTATTGGCCCGTTTTATGCGCTATTTGGCTTGACGCTGTCTGGTCTTATTCTGTAAACCTTATATGGTAACCCATCTTCAAGACTGTACTGTATACGCAATGGTAATTGACCCATCAAATTATTGTGCAATTATCAAAGTTACTGTTAAATTTGTATTGAGAAGTTTGAGAAATGCTGGCTGCATAATTTCATTTTGTGAAGTCAGTGTCCAGGAAACATTACAGTTCCACGACTGTGAAACGGAGGAAGGTTGTCCAGGGATGCAATAGTTCTGAGGTAGGCCAATGCTTTTCTTGACAGGAGCGAGAGAAATTTACCTTTTTGTTTGAGTTTTTTTCCTGACAAGGCTTAATGACCCAACCATTGAGGCTTTTACTTAATTTCCAGTTCTAAAAACTTACATTCAAAAGACAAATAAGGGTTTTGAGGAAGGCAAACAGGGCAGATTTCATCCGGAGAAAGACTGCGACATCTTCTGATTTTGCGCTAGGTTATGAAACTGTTGTTATCTGGTATTATGCAACTGCCATTTTGTTCTCTTGCACAAGGCTACCAATTTCGCCTTTCTCACTGGGTTATTCTAATATTTTGCAGCCATAAAGAGCAAAATCAGCGAACTCTGGTTTAAATGTTTTCTTTATATTTTAAAGAATCCATGCCACGAGGGCCAGAAACCAAATTAAAACATTAATATGCTTAATTTTACTGAACGAAAGAATAGTTTTGAATGGAAGAAACTCAAACATTAATACACTAAATTGCACGGAGCAAATAACTATTTAAGGTAAATCTCAAATAGTTCCATAGCTATTCTGCATTTATTTTTAATCATTTTCTTCTTAAAATATGGGATCAATACATTCTATATACCCTTTTTTATAAGAACCAGTAAATTAATTTGCGAAAAGGCTTATAAGAGTATGATTATAAGCTCATGTCTTTAAGTCTTTAAGCTCATGTCAATAAACACGATGGTAGTAAAATCCATTTAGATGACAACTTTGTTTTCTTCGCGACAGTTGGCCTACCTGATGGTAGTTTACCAGATAACCTATTTTCCAGGCTTTTCTGAATGTTAAAGTACCCCAAGTACAGGATCCTCGTTGATGGGACATTGTCTGATGTTAGCAACGTTCTTTTCGGTTGAGCCTCTCTTAGCTGAGCGGTTAATGGACCAACCTTTCTTAGTTTTGTCATGGAATGGCATCTATCAAGTGGTAGTTAAACCTTTCTGTCATCTTCATTGAACTTGTTTGTGCTATAAAAACTCGATACCTACCCAACAACACATTAGTTAACATTAAAACAATACATACATTCCTATAAAATTGCCATTAAAGAGTTATCAAGTTTTTATCCTATCAAGGAGTCTTTTTAATTATTTGGGAATATGTAACCAAGAAACATGATAAATATAAATAACTTAACAAACAAGATTAACGTCCCGTAAAAAGGGATGCGACCAAAGCTTTCTGAACTTGGAAACATATTGTCATGAATGTCAGCTGGCTGCTCTAGAGAATCAAAAGGATTTAGAAGCTACTGGAGCGATGACGAATGTGAAGAACAGGTCGCCAAAGATGAATAATACAGGAATGCTAGGCTTGACCTTTCAACGGGAAGGGGGAGAGGGACTAAATATCTTACTCATCCCACCCAGGCTTACTTATCAAAAATTGAATTTTCGATCTTCCGACAGCGGGCTGGCATGCTCGGACGGGGGGATAGCCCATCAAACCTTTCCTTGGCGCTACCTCTGACCATATGCTCTGATCTTCATACATTAGACACACCAATAATCGGAGGCTAATGCATCCAGTGGGAGTACAAGAAACACGTGTGCACTAGGCATTGCTCTTCGATCTTACCACCTTGCATTTTCAAAAGTAGCATTATCAGTATTGTCTCCATAGCGACAAGCCATAGCCAAAAGTATTTTTTGGCTTCAACAAGTGATCTTCTCATCTTTAAGGTACATGCAATGCAAGCATGTTACCAATAGAATTGAGACAAAAAACATCAGATTGTGTAGATTGTGAAGCTCAAAATCTCAAGCGACGTTTTTCATCGAACCAAATTCCTGCTACATCACAGCGATATACTGTAATTCAGGGGGGGGGGAGCAACAAGGATAATCAGAACTTTCTTAACTTTATATGCGCTATAATGAAACAGTGTAATAAGAAAGCTTTCCACATATGTTCAAGATACATCTGACACTCTCAGAATCAACTTCTATTTCACCGGTGAACATCGTTACCTATTCACCCTGGGTATCTAATCACACCTAACTGTCATGCATAACACCAACAGCCTTACTGCTCTCAAAAAATCCTGAATCCACCTCCCACAAGCAGTCCTCTTACCAGGCACCGCGGATTGTTGAGAAAAATGGGGGGGGGGCCTAAAAAGGTGCGGGGGCTATAACCGAATAAAAAGAGGATTTACTGGTGACTCGCTTCTAAATATTTTGCATTTGTCGCAAAAATGTGCGGGGCGGGGGCTATAGCTCCCCCTGCCCTGCGGTGCCTGCTTACAGCTTGCTGAGCTTGTTCTTACCAATGTAACGTTTTAGGACTTGTATTCTTCAGTAATTATTATTATTATGTTTAGCTAGATCTTTGATTATGTTGCGTGTTAATGTCACATGTTTGTTTGTCACGCTGTTGTGTTAGTAACTCCCTTTCCGGGAAATGTGCGTCACTGTCATCGTGTTGTGTGATGTTTCACAGTGTTCCTTTGTTTGTGTTTTAATATAATGTAATCCTACTTAGAATAATTTAGTCTTACTGTTTTAACGATAAACATAACATCAAAGAACGAGTATCTCTTGTGTGCTATCTACTTGGGGCTAGGCCCGTTGGCCTAGCCCATCGCTCAGCCAACGACCTGATACTTCACCGTCATAAGAAGAACCCTATCGTTACATTTGGTGACAGAGTGGGATGGCGGTGGAATGCGTTGGTCTTTACACTTTTTAATGGAATTTTTATCGAGAATGATTTGGATTCAATGAGTGCTGCTGATTCACAGCTTTAATTTGATTTTCAAAACAGAAACTTTTTGCGATGGATTTGGGTTCAAATTGCTGCTCATTTCGCTTGGTTATTGTTTTTTTTTTTTGGAAGAAGACATTCCACTAACGGAAAAGGCATTCGTTTTCCAGATGATACAAGATACAGTCAAGATTTCGTGAGAAACTATGTCACCGTTAATTAGCCGATTGTTTGGGAGCTGGCCGGAGAGAGGTTGCAGCTGGGAAGAGCTATAGAGAGCCTTCGTATGTAATAGGACTTTTTAAACATTTCTTTTTGGAGATATCATCACGAAATTGGGCAAATAAAGTGATGTTGTAGGCACTACCTTCGCTTGCCAGTTTATGCCTCCGGGCCGTAATGACACTTCAAACACTTTTATTTATGACGTAGAAGAACTCAGTGACTTTTCAAGGTTGTATCGTGTATTTTAAAAGGGAGGGGATGGTGTAACGTTTTAGGACTTGTATTCTTCAGTAATTATTATTATTATGTTTAGCTAGATCTTTG